ACTGAACCAGTATTTACCTAAGTGTTTCCTAAATCTAAACTTATCCAATTTATACCCATTGTTTCGTGTTCTGGATTGTGTTGATATTTTTAATACCCTATTAATATCCCCCCTGTTATGTCCATTCATCCACTTAAGAACATAAGAACAAACGCAACTGCAGAAGGCCTGTTGGCCCATACGAGGCAGCTCCTATTTATAACCTCCCAATCCCACTCATATACATGTCCAACCCATGCTTGAAACAATCGAGGGACCCCACCTCCACAATGTTACGCGGCAATTGGTTCCACAAATCAACAACCCTGTTACTGAACCAGTATTTACCCAAGTCTTTCCTAAATCTAAACTTATCCAATTTATACCCATTGTTTCGTGTTCTGTCTTGTGTTGATACTTTTAATACCCTATTAATATCCCCTTTGTTATGTCCATTCACCCACTTGTAAACCTCTATCATGTCACCCCTAACTCTTCGCCTTTCCAGTGAATGCAACTTAAGCTTTGTTAATCTTTCTTCATATGAAAGATTTCTAATTTGGGGAATTAACTTAGTCATCCTACGTTGGACACGTTCAAGTGAATTTATATCCATTCTATAATACGGCGACCAAAACTGAACTGCATAATCTAAATGGGGCCTAACCAGAGCAAGATATAGCTTAAGAACCACACCAGGTGTCTTGTTACTAACGCTTCGATTAATAAATCCCAGTGTCCTATTCGCCTTATTACGAACATTTATGCATTGATCCTTTTGTTTTAAATTCTTACTAATCATAACTCCCAGATCCCTTTCGCAATTCGACTTCGCAATCTCAACACCATCTAGCTCGTATCTTGTAACTCTATCATTACCTAGCCTCAGAACTTTACATTTATCAGCATTAAACTGCATTTGCCAATCCTTTGACCATTTCAAAACCCTATCTAGATCAACTTGAAGTGATAGTGAGTCCTCCTCCGAATTAATTTCCCTACCGATTTTCGTATCATCGACAAATTTGCAAATGTTGCTACTCAAACCTGAATCTAAATCATTTATATATATTATAAACAACAGAGGTCCCAGGACAGAGCCCTGAGGTACTCCACTAACAACATTATCCCACTCTGACTTAACCCCATTTATACTAACTCTCTGTTTCCTTTGGAATAGCCATGCCCTAATCCAAGTTAATATAGCACCCCCAATACCATGAGCTTCTATTTTTTTAATTAGTCTTTCATGTGGCACTGTATCAAAAGCTTTGCTAAAGTCAAGGTACACAACATCACAATCCTTACCACTATCAACTGCCTCAACTATGCTGGAATAAAAAGTTAGCAAATTTGTTAAACATGAACGGCCATTTGTAAAACCATGTTGCGACTCATTTATTAATTTATGTTTTTCAAGATGGAGACGAATTGTATTTGCAATTATTGATTCAAGTAACTTTCCCACAATAGACGTTAGGCTAATTGGCCGATAGTTTGACGCAAGTGATCTATCTCCTTTCTTAAAAATTGGTACCACATTAGCTACCTTCCATGACTCTGGCACTCTGCCTGACTCTATTGATTTATTAAATATGGTAGACAGTGGCTCGGAAAGCTCCTCTTTGCATTCTTTAAGCACCCTGGCAAACACTTCATCCGGCCCTGGGGATTTGTTTGGTTTTAGTTTTTCTAATTGTTTAATTACATCTTCCCTGGTAACTGCTAAACTAGTCAACCTGTCCTCATCCCCACCCACATAGACTTGTTCGGCTGAAGGCATATTGTTAAGTTCTTCTTTAGTAAATACAGATATAAAATATTTGTTAAAAATACTACTCATCTCCTTGTCATTATCCGTTATTTGACCTGTCTCAGATTTTAATGGACCTATCCTTTCCCTAGTCTTAGTTCGATATAACTGAAAAAAACCTTTAGGATTTGACTTTGCTTGCTCTGCTATGCGAACTTCATAGTTTCTTTTTGCTTTCCTAATCTCTTTTTTAACATTTCTAACCAGTTGTATGAATTCCTGTTCTAACCTGACTTCCCCATTCTTAATCCTTTTGTACCAAGCTCTCTTTTTTACCTATAAGGTTCTTTAAATTATTTGTTATCCACTTTGGGTCATTAGTATTCGACCTATTCAATTTGTATGGTATACTACGTTCCTGTGCTTTGTTTAGAATATTCTTAAATAAGTTATATATTAAATCCACATCGAAATCCCCTTTTACGTCACCTATCGCTGGGTTCATGTCTCGCTCTAAGACCGGCCCACACCCCATACCCAAGAGTTTCCAATCTATTTGACCCAAAAAATTTCTTAGGCTATTAAAATCAGCTTTTCGAAAATCTGGCACTTTAACAGAATTTTCTCCTACAGGTCTATTCCATTCTATGCTAAATCTGATTACTTTGTGATTACTGTTCCCTAGCTCACTCCCTATTTCGATGTCATTAATTTGTGTTTCCCTGTTAGTTAACACTAAATCTAAAATATTATTTTCCCGCGTTGGTTCCTTAATGTGTTGCGTAAGAAAGCAATCGTCAATTAATTCTAGAAAATCTTCTGCTTCACTATTCCCTGTTTTGTTCACCCAGTTTATTCCACTAAAATTAAAGTCACCCATGACATAAATACTGTTAGATCTAGATGCTCTAGATATTTCATTCCATAGATGCTTTGCTTCCATTCTGTCTAAATTTGGTGGCCTATATATAACTCCTATTATAATATTATTTGCTTTTTCGTTTAATTCTATCCAAATAGTTTCTGTGTGTGGCTCAGTTTTGATTCCCTCTTTGAGACTACATTTCAAATTGTCCCTAACATATATGGCTACTCCCCCTCCTCGTCTAATATATCTATCTGTGTGAATAGTTTAAATCCATTTATCTGATATTCAGCTAATAGTTCTCTATTTTCTACGTTCATCCACGTTTCGGTAAGTGCAATAATATCTATTTTTTATGTGCAGACAAGAGCATTTAATTCATTAATTTTATTTCTTAGACTTCTACTGTTAGTGTAATATATCCTAAGTGAATTGTTATTTTGAGGCCCTTTTCTTTCTCTGATCATTTTGCCAATTCTTTTCTCCCACGAACACATACTTTTATTACCTCCTTCCTCCAAATCAATTCCCATTCCACTATCTACTAACAGTTTAAACCCAAACAAACACCTCTAACCACTGGTTCCAACGAGTTCGCAACAGCAACAACCCCAGCCCTCGATAGATGCACCCCATCACGAGCATACATTTCATTTCTTCCATAGAAGCATTCCCAGTTGTCTATGAAAGATATTGCATTTCATTTGCAATATCTTTCCAGCCGGCAATTGACACCAAGTGCCCTCGACATCCATTCATTTCCCACTCCCTTTCTTGGAAGAATGCCACATATGATCGGGATTCCTCCCTTGCTCCTAACTAATTCAATGGCTGTCCTAAATCTCTGTATTAGTTCCTCATTCCTAACTCGCCCAACATCATTACCCCCTGCACTAATACAAATAATGGGTTTGTTCCCATTTCCCGTCATAATATCATTCATGTTTTCAACAATATCACCAATTCCAGCTCCCGGATAGCAAACCCTTAATCTGTTCTCCCTATCTCTGGCACAAAACGTTCTGTCTAAATACCTCACCTGGGAATCTCCCACAACCAAAATTCGCTTCGGTACCGCCCTAACGTTCTGAGCAGCCTGAGGGGCCTGCGCTCCGCCGTTCCTCGCTGATTTCCTCGCTGCAGGCGCACTACAGCACTCGTCCTCCAACACGGCAAATGAATTTGCCGTCCTTAGGGCGTCTGAAGGCGGCCTTGTCAAGGTCTTCTTAAGACCCCTGTCTTTCACTACTCTCCACGATGAGGTCTCGTCAACACTGGTCTCCTCCTTCGTTTCCTCTCGAAGTCTCGGCCATCGTACCTCCTCCCGCAGGGAATCCATCTCTGCTCTCAGAGCTCCAACCAAACTCACCAAATCATTAACTAATCCTTCCATTATTGCAATAATAATGTTACTCCAGAGCTCCAGCTAACACAACCTCTCACTGTGACAGCACCTGACTGATGACTTAGGATGACTAAGTTAATTCCCCAAATTAGAAATCATTCATATGAAGAAAGATTAACAAAGCTTAAGTTGCATTCACTGGAAAGGCGAAGAGTTAGGGGTGACATGATTGAGGTTTACAAGTGGGTGTATGGACATAACAAAGGGGATATTAATAGGGTATTAAAAGTATCAACACAAGACAGAACACGAAACAATGGGTATAAATTGGATAAGTTTAGATTTAGGAAAGACTTGGGTAAATACTTTGAGGGGCCTCGTAGCCTGGTGGATAGCGCGCAGTACTCGTAATTCTGTGGCGCGGGTTCGATTCCCGCACGAGGAAGAAACAAATGGGCAAAGTTTCTTTCACCCTGAATGCCCCTGTTACCTAGCAGTAAATAGGTACCTGGGAGTTAGTCAGCTGTCACGGGCTGCTTCCTGGGGGTGGAGGCCTGGTCGAGGACCGGGCCGCGGGGACACTAAAGCCCCGAAATCATCTCAAGATAGCCTCAAGATAACCTCAAGATACTGGTTCAGTAATAGGGTTGTTGATTTGCGGAACCAATTACCGCGTAACGTGCTGGAGGTGGAGTCCCTCGATTGTTTCAAGCGCGGGTTGGACAAGTATATGAGTGGGATTGGGTGGTTATAAATAGGAGCTGCCTCGTGTGGGCCAATAGGCCTTCTGCAGTTGCCTTTGTTCTTATGTTCTTATGTTCTTATTAACCTCTTGACTCCCCATTAACCCCATCACTCCCATTAACCCCATGACTCCCCATTAACCCTATGATTCCACATTAACCTCACGACTCTCCTCAAATTTCCTCCCCCTTTCTCTAACTAATTAATTTCACTGTAACCTATAAATTTTCCCCTCTAACCCTGTTCATTTCCCCTCCTTTAACTCCTTCATTAACCCCTCTAACCTCCTCGTTTCCACCTCTAACTTCCGGCAGGTATCTCGAGGAGGAGGCAGCGTGGAGGCCGAGTGCCTCTTGAAGCTTGGGACCCACGAGCTGCGGTCGAGCACGACGCTTCGAGTGCGACATCGACCCTCGTCCTATCTCTCCAATTACTTCTCCGCCGCAGGTTAAAACTAATCTGGTTTTCTTTACCCCCTGTGGTTCACTTTTTCCGCTTTCTTGTTCGGAGTCTCGGTGTTTGTCAGAGGATGAGTACTTGAGTAATGTTCTGGACTCATTGTTATGACGGCACCTTTACTCATCCATCATGTATTGTTGTCATGTCATGTTGTTCACACAATATATGTGACCACAGTGTTATGTCTGTTATGTTTGTTATGTCTGACTCGTTCAGTCGAGTCAGACATAACAAACAATCAGTTTCAGAGCCCTCGCTCCAGTGGGAATGAGTGATCACTGTGTACTGATGTTTGAGTGTCTGGTAAAACGAGGGATAACTTACTTAATGAAGGAACCAGGGAACAAAAAGCTACGTACCGAAATGGAATTACGAGAAGATAAAAAAATTAAGAAAATTCCTAATAGAATACCATGGGAAACAGAGCTCAGACGGAAGGCTGTACAAGACATGATGGACTACATCACCCAGAAGTGTAAGGAGGCAGCAGACAAGTTTGTCCCAGTCCAAATGGAAGAAAATAAATGCGAAGAAGGAACCCATGGTTTTATCAGGGAGGTTAGGTAGCAAAGTAACTAAGCACAAGGGCATGGAGAAATTACAGGTATAGCAGACGCCAGTGAGCATAACCCCCAGTGAGCAGAGAAAGACACCAGAGGGCCTGGAATGAGTAGCTCAGCGCTAGAAGAGTGACAGAATTACACACAGAGATCACACTAACGTGATGCATCAAATGAACAAATCCACAAGGGCCGTGACGTGGATTTGAACCTGCGAACTCTTTTAACCCTGTCGTAGCTCAGTCGATTAAGGCAGTGTCTGGGATGCTCCCGGACGCAGGTTCGAATCCTCGTCATAGCCCTTGTGGATTTGTTCATTTTAAGAGTGACAGTTTGAAAACAACATAGTAAATACAGCAAAGACCCAACCCAAATTGCTTCACAGCCACATCAGGACGAAAACAACAGTGAAGGAACAGGTAATGACACTGAGAAAAGGGGCTGATAGGTTCACTGAGAATGACATGGAGGCGTGTGAGAAACTTAACAAGAGATTCCAGGAGGTCTTCATAATAAACCAAGGAGAAGTTCCTGAACTAAGAGAGAGGGCATTTAACCAGGCATCACGGGAGGAACATAAGATCAGCCGTGGCGAGGTAAGGAAGCAGGTACTTAGCGTGACAAAGGATGTTGGCCCAGATGGGATCTCACCATGGATACCGAAAGAGGAAGCAGATGCACTGTGCTTGCCAGTCTCAGTGGTGTATAATAGTCATTCGTAGATGTTATAAGACAGCGAATGTGGTTCCGATATACAAGAAGGGAGACAGACAGGGGTCACTGAACTATGGGCCAGTGTTCCTTACATGCAAGGTGACTGAGAACAGTGTAACAAAAGGCTAGAACAACATCTTGAGAGAAGGAACTTCGTAACTATGACCAGGCGACCAAAAAATTGGCAAAAATATAAAGGGTGGACAGACTAAATATTTTTGGACTACCAGAAAGCTGTTGACACAGTGCTCCATAAGAGACTAGTGCATTAGTTGAAAAAATAGGCAGGAGTGACAGGGAAGGCACTCCAATGAATGATGGATAATATAAACAATAAAAGCAGCGAATCTCTGTGAGAGGATGAGATTTCAGAGTGGCGAGAAGTCACCAGCCGAGTCCCAAACGGTTCAGTTCTTGGACTAAACTTATTCCTCGTATATGCAAACAAGTTTACAGAGGGAATAGACTCATTCCTCAGTTTTTGCTGATGCAAAAATTATATGGATGAGTAAGACAGAAGGAGCTACCAGGTGTCCTGGGCAAACTGAAAGTATGGTGCAATAGACGTCCGGAGCAGGAGGCCAGACACAAGGTACTAAATGGGAGAGGAAATCCTTCAGGAATCTGACAAAGAGAAGTATCTATGGAATTATATCATACTGAACCTGTCATCAGAAGTCACACCAAAAGGATATGTGGCTTATGTTGATATGATGATTTGTGGAACCAATTGCCGCGTAACATTGTGGAGGTGGGGTCCCTCGATTGTTTCAAGCATGGGTTGGACATGTATATGAGTGGGATTGGGTGGTTATAAATAGGAGCTGCCTCGTATGGGCCAACAGGCCTTCTGCAGTTGCCTTTGTTCTTATGTTCTTATATCATACAGTGGCATGTGCAAGACTGGCTAACATCAAAGATGCACTTTGAAATTTGTGTAAAGAATCATTTAAAACCTTGTATGCCACTTACGTCAAACCAATCCTGGAGTGCGCGGCTCAAGCAAGATGGCTATATCTTCTCAAGCATAAGACGAAGCTGGAGAAGGGTTGAAGGTATGGCGTAATTTCAGAACTACGAGATATAAGTTACATTATGAATTGAACCTCATGTCGCTGGAAGACAGAAGAGTTAAGAGAGACATGATTAACACATACAAATTTCTCAGGGAAATTGATAGGTTAGCTAAAGACATCCTATTTAACATGGGTGATAGTCTCACATAAGGACACAGATAAAAACTGTGTACCAAAATGAGCTAGAGACATTAAAAAAAATTGTCAGCGTCAGAGTAGTTAACAAATGGAATGCATTTGGAAGTAATGAGGTGGAGGCTGACACCATTCACAGTTTCAAGTGTCGATATGATAGAGCCCAGTAAGCTCAAGAACCTGTACACCAGTTGATGGACAGTTGAGAGGCGGGACCAGAGAGCTGGTGCTCAATCCACGCAATCACAACTAGGTGAGTACACAGTCACCACATACAGTCTGCATATAATGACAACACAACTGCAACACAACCACAAAGCTATTACAAGACAATCACAACACAATCATACTCATAATATTGTCTCGATTCAATCACAACAATGTCTTAAATCAATTACGACGCATTTAAATCACAATTACAACACAATTACAAAATCTTTCACAACACAGTCTCAACACAAACCCCACATTCTCACAACAAGATCATAACACAGTTACAACACACTCACACCACAATCAGGCAACACTGGTGTATATATATATTAACAGGAAGAACAGACTCATGTTCAAAACTGTTCACTTTGACAGCTCAAGTCGACTTTTGTAATGAAATAAATCTCGGGTTTGAACACAACGACTTGTTCAAATGTTCAGAGATGTCGCGCGTTCTTAATTGCCTCTGTTATGCCATATGTTTAACCCAACGAAGAAGTCATATATATATTATCCTATTAATACTGGAATCGTCAGCTCATATTTACCGAACTATCACGAATATTCTGTTGTTTAATATATTACTTTAATTTAATATATTACTTTGATTAATATTACTGTTTAATATTACACGAATTCATTATTTGTTGTGTTGTTCTGGCGCTCGTATATACTAATAATAATTAATAATATAAATTATAATAATTCATAATACTGTTTCATATTAGTGAGGTTTAGTATTTAATAATACTAAATAATTATAATATTGTTACCTACTAGTGTCTTAATCTGGTATTAATACACTGTGTCAATATATGGAACATTATTTGATGAATATATAGTTCGTGTTAGGTTAATTTAGGTGAAATTGATTTATTTTAGCTGAAATTTAATTTAGCTGTTCTTCCTAAGCTGTGCTTTATATAACGACTAAAGCAAATCCTTTATCATGAGAAACCACACCTACCCCCCCCCCCCCCTCTCCTCAAACCTACTTGAATAGTTAGCTAGATATTTTTTGTTGATAGTCTACTTTGGGCTCACCGTAGTCCGTGCTACTTGAAACTTTTAGTGCCAAGTAGCTGAATCTAAATCATCATCATCATCTAGATATTATTCGTAGTCTAAAAGAATATTACTGGTCCAATAATAGTCTACATGTAAACTGGCAAGTGAACATTTGTCCTAAACTGAGATTATTTAACAAGTTATAACTTTAATGTATTATAGATCGTTGGTTTAAAAATATAAATTATATTTTGAAAACGTTTTCTTTGAAGGATTATATTTTCTGTAAAAGAAATTCCCAGGTATACTCAAATAGTTTCGAATTCCAAATTTCACATTATAGTCAATAATACCCAGTATTAATATAACCAAATGCAATAAAGCCTCACCTAACCAAACCTTAACCATAAGTAACCTTACCCTAACCTAACATTGGATAGAGAGCAGATAACAGCAGTAATTATGTAGTCGTTCTCAATCCATTCCATAGGCGGATTTCCTCCCTGAGAACAGATTACTACTGCAAGGAGGTGACAAACACCATCACACTGTTCAGAGTAAAGACGTCTTGCTTCAACCACACAATAATAATCTAATAATCTAACGAATGTAAATAATCTAAGTAGTCTAAATAATCAAGATAATCTAAATAATCAAAACCATCTAAATCTAAATTACATAAATATTCATATAAAAATATTCTAAAATTACATAATATTTTAAATCTAAGTAATCGATATACTCTAAATCTAAATAATTGAAATAATCTAAATCGTCTACCGAAAAAGGAGAGAGATGTTAGAGGTAACACAAGCAGACAGGTTGTGTTACTGCAAGGATTGTGTTACAATGAAAGGTTGTGTTACTGCAAGGATTGTGTTACAATGAAAGGTTGTGTTACATATACTGGAAGAATATGCTGGGTATCAGACCTATTAAAGTCACAACTGCCACAAAGTGACCATTTATTGATATGTAATTTAAATCCTATTGGAATGAGATGTATCTTACCCGAGCCGTGTGCTCCGAGTGACCCAGGCCGTCCGCTAAATATTCTTGATTTAAAAGGCTGAGAGGTGTGAATAAAATTGTTTATAACTTCATGGTATAATCCCAACCACTTGGGCTAGAGGTGAAGCGACTGTCTCTCTTCATGCAGGTCGGCGTTCAATCCCCGACCGTCCCAAGTGGTTGGGCACCATTCCTTTCCCCCGCCCCATCCCAAATCCTTTTCCTGATACCTCCTAAGTGCTATATATAGTCATAATGGCTTGGCGGTTTTTCCCT